CGCGGCAGGCGATGCGGTTCGCACGGCGCGGAGAAACAGCGCCGACTGATTCGCTGGCAACCGCGGAAGAGTGGTGGCGATGATGCTTGATCACTGGGGAGAACGCGAATGCAACGGAGCTGCCTTTGTTGGGCGAAGGAGCGGTGAATGTGTTTTGGAATCGACGCGGATGTGATGCAATCGAGGCAGGGGCAGGAACCTGGAGCTCGTGACGTGGCGCGTGACGGTGAGCAATCTGAGACACTGACAGGTGGCACGTGGAGGCTGGAGAAGAAGTGGTATACACCGAGTCCTCGCCAATTTCACGTCCCCTGAGATTTTCCTAAAATCACCCTTGACCGTTTTTTATTTCGAGTAAACCAGAAAGGATTGCTCAGGGGTGTGAAATTGGTGGTATTGAAATTGGCGAGGACAGTGTGTACCCTGGCCTTGTTGGGTTGGCACCATTCGAGAAACCAAGCACACTCGAAACTTTTTCGATAAGCTGAAAACATGTTATCAAGGCGGGCGATAAGCGGATTGCTGCCGAGCCTGACGGCATAATTTAGACTGCCGAACGGCCTGTTTTATCCCAGGGTATTGAACCGTGTGTTGGTTCCAGGAACAAACTGTCAACAGACTAAGCGAGAATGAATGAACTAGAAACAAGGTGGGTACAAGTACTAACCGTAATTGGGTTGTACCCCATATGGGCTACCCCACTATAGCCTAGGGTTCACACAACATAACAGTTTGACACACCCCCATAGGCAAAGTGGGGGAGAACAAGGGGTCACAAGACCAGTCAAGAAAAACAAAGCAAGCTCAGGGTGGATCACGAAGTCACCACACACCCTGAGCACAAGCAAATGGCCACAAGGTCAGTTCACATGCAGAGTTATATAATGCAGAACAAGCAGTACAGTGATCAAACCCTAGCAAGTGTAAGCATGCAGGTATAAGTATATAGATCACAGTACAAGAAAAGTCAAGAAGTGAGCAAGTGAGGCCAAGTAGGCACAAGGCCTAGAACAGTACAGAAACGCTGATGATCACAAGGCTGAAGTGCCTTGGTGAACATATCAGCAGTGTTGGCCCGAGAGGCCACGTAAACAAGACGAAGCTGACCACGCTGCTGCAACTCACGAGCAAGGAAGTAGCGCAGAGCGATGTGCTTCGTCCTGTGCTCCAGTCTGTGCTCCTGACACAAGGCAATCATGGCCTTGTTGTCGACGTACAGAACTGGAGGAGAACGAGGCGGCTCTCCCAAGTCGGTCAGCAGGTAGGTGAGCCAGTGTAACTCCTGTGCAGCCATGGCCCCTGCGTAGATCTCAGCCTCACAACTGGAACTGAGAACAGAAGACGAACGGGTAGACCGCCAAGAAACAGAGCCGGAGCCAAGGCTGAAAGTGTAACCCTGTGACGACCGCTGCGTAGCCAAGTCGTCAACCCAAGAAGCGTCTACGTGTCCAGTGAGGACAACTCGACCCCGTCCTCCAAGCACGAGCCCCATGCCCGACGTACTGCACAAGTAGAGCAACACCCTCTTAGCAGCCTCCCAGTGCTCTGGTCGGTGTCTCCCTGGCGCAACGTAGTGTGCCAGGATGCTAAGAGGGTAGGCAAGGTCAGGTCGAGTGCAGGTCATCAGGTACATGAGGCAGCCCACAAGCTTTGGATACGGGCCACTCGGCTCTACGGACTCGTCCGAAGGTGGAGCTGAGAGCGAGTGACCGGTAGGCAGAGGAGCGGACTGTGGCGAGGAGTACTAGAAGCAGAAGCACTGAAGGACCTGCTGCACCATGTGTGACTGAGTCAAGGTAATGGTGCGCCGTGCTCTGTCCTGGGTGATCTGCAAGCCAAGATAGCTGCGCAGCTCACCCAGGTCTGTGCACGTGTGTCTCTTCTGTAGCTGCGACTTCACTAGGGCCAGTCCCTCAGTGTCAGCAGTCGAAGGAGCAAATCCAAGAGCCGCAAGCGTCGTCCTCAATGTGTCGTGCCACTCGCGAGGCGCCTGGCGGAAACCGTGGACTGGCCGCTGGAGGCTCCACTGGGTACCTGCAAGAAACGACCCAGTGAAGCCAGGTGGGCGGCGCAGCCAGATCTCCTCGTGCAGGCTACCCTGTAAGAAAGATGTGCTGAAGTTAAGAGAGTGAAGCTCGTAGTCACGCTGAGCGGCGATGTGCAGCAGCACCCGAAGAGTAGTCATCTTCGGGGTAGGGGAGGAGGTTTGGAAGAAGTCAACTCAGTGTCGCTGACTGAAGCCTCGTGCAACGTAACGCGCCTTGAAGACAGGCGGAGAACCCGAGGCCGCTTTACCCTGAAAATCCACATGCCATCGACTATGTTCGCCCCAGGAGGGGAAACTGCGTCGACGTAAGTGCCTGTGGACTTCCAGGATGCCATCTCTGCGTCCATGGCTGTCTGTCACTGAGAGGAGTAGGAGCCTGTAATCGCCTCTGCGTAAGAGCGCGGGGTCGGGATGTCTGGTGCATCCGGGTCTCCCTCAGGTGCAATCAGCATGGACACGAGATGAGGTACAGCAGCTGCAAAACACTCAAAGTCCTCCTGCTGTCCTCAAGGACGTCCGTGCCAAGAGCACACTCACCCCCGACGGACGGAGGACAGGCAGACTCAGACTCAGCAACAAGACTAGCGGCGTAGTAGAGATGACAGGCGGCAGCAAAGTCAACAAGCTCAGCAACTAGGGCTGACGCATCATTGGACTCAAACGAAGGGTCAGTGACAACAGTGGCTACAAGACGTGTGACAGTAGGACTGGCAGCACGAGCAAGGTCGGACGGCGGGTCAGGAACGTCAGGAAGAGAGGACGCCGGAGGAGACAGCAGAGGGACACAATGTGGAACAGAGGAATGACGAAGTGCCATAGGGTGCGTACAGGGGACAGGAGGAGGACGCTGACGAGGAACACGGCGACCAGTGCGAACAGCGCGAACAGGCGACGCAGGACGAGACGCAGGCTCACGACGCTCTGTAAGACCTCCTGTTAGGAGCAGGAAGTGGGGAGGCTGGCTGTAACTGCGGCTGCGACTGGTCAAGCGGTGGACACAGTAAGGGAGGAGTAAGGCCAGTAGAAGACGGGAGACCAAGAACCTGCTGAAGCAGTGGAACGAAGTACGGTCGCGGCCGCACAGTGCCTCCAGAACCAGCACCGACAGCACCAGCACCCCTAGGGCCAGCACCTCTAGCTCCAGGGTCTCCAGCTACAACGCCTGTAGCCCCACCGGCTCCAGCAGCTCCAGTACCTCTAGTACGAGCACCTCCGGGACCAGCAGCTCCAGCACCTCCAAGACCAGCAGCTCCAGTGCCTCCAGCTCCAGGGCCTCCAGCGGCAGGCCCCCCAGCTCCAGCAGCGCCACTCCGAAGGCTCCAGCGCTGAGCAAACCACTCGCGCAGCTGCGGTGGAGAGAGAGACTCCCGCCGTGACGAGGCACCCGAAGGACCTCCAGCAGACAAAATACCTCCAGGCTCAGCACGCTCAGGCTCAGCACCCCCAAGCTCAGCACCCCCAGGCTCCGCACGCTCAGGCTCAGCACCCCCAGGCTCTGCACCCTCAGACTCAGCAACCCCAGGCTCAGCACCCCCAGGCTCCGCACGCTCAGGCTCAGCACCCCCAGGCTCCGCACGCTCAGGCTCAGCACCCCCAGACGCAGCACCCCTAGCAGCACCACCCCCAGCAGCACCTGAGTCGACAGCGACCTCGACAGGCTCGACAGGGTCTACCTGAGACACACCTGAGCGAGCAGGACCCTGAGGGGGGAGGGGGTGTACCAGAGGAGGACCTGGTGCGAGCAAGAGCGGCGGGGGGGGGAGAGGGGCAGTGCGGTAGGGGAAGAGACGGTAAAAGGGAACCGAGTCGTCAAACGTCAGACCGGCTCGGCCCCACACGTCCATGTGGAGAGTATGCAGGGGAGCAGTCGTCGGGGGAAACGAGGAGGAGTGAGGAGCGGCGCGCTGCCGCCCCTCGACACAGGGAAGGCAGGGAGGGGCAGGCGAGGGTGGGAGGGGAGGTAGAGACCTGGGAAGACCAGAGACAAGGAGACGGGAGTGCATGCCACGGAGGCGTGGCACGGAGGGGTGACCAAGGCGGTGGTGCCAAAGGAGCGTCTGGTGCGACAGGGCGCGACACGAGCAGGGGGCTGCTAGCTGACCTGATGCGGACGCAGACGCAGCTACCTGAGGAGGCTCAGTAGTCAGTGTGTACAGACTCGACCCAGGCCGACGGGTGAACGTGGCCAGGTGATGGCCCATCCGTGTACACGTACAGATTGACACACGCTAAACCCAAGGAGTGGTGGTAGTGACCATCGCGTCCTGGAGGGCAGCGGTACTCACCAAGTTCGTAGAGAACGAGGGGAGGTGAAGACCTAAGAGTGAGCCGGACGGAACCGCCGGACATGGGAGAACAGTGGAGGAACGGGCAAGAACTAGGCCCTCTGAGGGGTCAGCTAGTCTGACAGCAACAGGTGCAGGGAGTGGTGTGACTGTGGTACTGTCGCGAAAGAAACATCGGGAAGCACCTGAGTCAAGCGTGAAGGTGTGCAAGGCCGCAGCAGGCGCAGTACCAGAGAGCGCAGACTCACTAGCACCTAGAGCAGCAGCCTCTATACCTGGGTCGGGCGGCATACACAGGTAACAGTCACCCTCAGCACTAACAGTCAATGCATACATGGCAGCAAGGATAGCAACATAATCAAGAGCAAAGATATCCACACCCTGCCTAAGCAGCTCTGCCCAGCGGGGGAGCTCAGTCGCGTCGGGAAACTCTGCGCGAAAGGCGTCGTCAAGACGGGAGAAGCAGCGGGACTGTGTGTGACCAACCTTCCCGCATGTCTGACCAGTGCGGTCACCTGTGCGAATGACGTACTGGCAGCGAACACCACCCCCAGACGCCCCACGCTGAGCAAACCACTACCACTCACGAAGCTCCTGGGGCGTAGGGGTCTCACGCTGCTGCTGCTGCCTCTGACCACCGCCAGAACCTCCCCTCTGACTGGTACCAT